CCCCCCCCCCCCCCATAGAATCTGGAAATATATAGGTTTTCCAAGTTAACTCAATGTGGTTTACGAAAATAATCATGATTATAAGTCCATACGCCACTGCATACGTGTTAAACAGTTGCCTGAGCTGAACATACGTCTGGAGGCGTATTTTATCGAAAATGCGTATTTTAACTCCGAGAATTTTTTGACACCGAGGGCATCGTCTAACTAAAACGAGCTTTTGATATGTTATCAAGGAGGCTTTAGGACACCCCCCTGGCTTGTTTTTAGTTGGACGATGCGCTCCTAGCTAAAAAAAACTTTTTCAAAAGTCGATTTTTATGTGAAATTCGCAAAAATCTTAGGGAAACACGTCTCTCCAACCGTATGCATGCTACGCATATTATGGAGGGCAGTTATCAGGCCTTGTTAAACTCTTACAAGGAGATTTTCTGTAATTATAGCCAAAAAAACCCCAACAACGTAATTCCTTAAGATTTTTGCGGATGTCCCTTAAAAGTCGACTATTGAAAAAAAATTGTATAGCTATGAGCGCATCATCTAACTAAAACCAAACCAGAGTTAAATTCTGAATAACATATCAAAAGCTCGTTTTAGTTAGACGATGTGCTCAGTGTCAAAAAAGCTTCGGAGTGATAGGAAACACGCATTTTTTGCTAAAATGCGCCTGCAAACGTATGTTCAGACAACCGTTTAACACGTATCCAGTGGCCTACGGATCAAATCATGATTATTTCCGTAAACTACAATGAGTCTACTCGGAAAACCCGCATAAATTTCAGATTCTGGAGGGTGGGGCAAAGAAGGCCCTTATCGATACCCCTCCTTTTTTCGAAATCTGGTAACAATTTTTATAATACAATCAATACACTGGCTTGGTTACCGCAATTGCACTTTTTGCAGGAAACCTGCCAAGAGCTATTCAATCCTTTTCGACACTTTTAAGTGCCAGTAGGGCTCGCTTTTTGAAATCACTCGGATGTACCATAGTGCAGCACCAACCAATGCTATTCGACGGGCCGTCAAAGTATTCTTTTCCTCGGACCCATTTTTTCGTCTCTGAGCCATTATATCTTAAGCGGTCGTATTAGCTCAATTAATTTTGCAATTGAATAAAAATTGGCAATTGAGCGTATAAAGAATTTCTGAAATTCTTTGATGTTTTTCCAACCAACCGGCAATACGTAGGTGAAAATTTTCAAAAATACGTGGAGAAATTTCTTTTGGGCTGCCCAACTGAGTTCAGGTGACTGAGGCGTAACTGCGCGTAACTTTGAATAATTTTTTCGCGTGAATTCCTTCTTCAGGTTCTGTCCTATTAATGTAACTAGACCAATGATTGAGACATACGGAAAGTCGAGACAGACCATTGATAGCGTTTTCGTTTCCTTCTAGCGCATTTCCTCTGACCGTGACCAGACGTTGAGATAACCCCAAAGTACTATCGATGCCCGAGTTTTTCCTGTTCTACGTCAGCTAATTACAGGGTAACGGAAAATTGTATTTTTTAAGTTCTGTAGGAAAGCAAGACATCAACGAGACACTCCCGTTACATTAACAACCTAATTTTTCTTTATTAATGAGAAGATTGCCCAGAATAATCAGGAAATTTGTGAGCAGACTTGTGAGAAAAGACCTTATCTCCCGAAAAGTAATTTCCCTTCATTTTTCATAAACCCAAACAACGGTTTTATAAAACTTGAAATTTGTATATCTTGGAACTTTAGGACTCAGATCTCCTTCAATTTTTGAGATTTAAGAGCCAAACTTGCGCCCAATAAAGAGCCGGATTTTCTACTCCAATACACATTCAAAAGGTCGAGGAAAATCTTCTCTGAGGATGTTAATAAACGGCGGTGAAACCACAGAAATGCGTTCTCATTTGCAGCGTTGGTGACTTCCTGTTACACGGAGAAAAAACCTCGTGCGTGGGACCCGAAGTTTAGGTCATATGGATCTCTGAAGTTTTCGGATTGAGCATCTGAACACTTTAGATCTAGCTATCGAGATTCGGATCACACATCTGAAACTTCAGTTCTTACATCTGAAGTACTGTAGATGTGAGAACCGAAGTTTTTCGGATGTGAGAACCGAAGTTGTTCGGATGCGAAAACCGAAGTACTTCAGATGAAAGAACTGAAGTTTCAGATGTATGATCCGAACCTCGACACCTGGACCTAAAGTGTTCAGATGCTCAATCCGAAGACTTCAGAGATCCATATGATCTAAACTTCGGGTCCCACGCACGAAGTTTTTTTCTCGGTGTAAATCTTATAGTTACATACAAAATTAGTGAACGTCATATTTTGAAAACTTCAGCGATTTTTTCTTTCAGTGTAAATAATATTCCGTAAAAAATGTCAAGTTATGAAGTTGGTTAAGTCCCATTTGAAGAAGGAGCTAACAATTAGTAAAATTTTGCCAAGCTAACTAAAATTCTTCCAAGCTAACTAAAATTCTTCCAAAAAAGCGAACTATAATTCCTCCCCCTTGATCTCGCCCTTCCGAACACCGACGACTCCACCCTCCCCTCCCCACACCTCCCCACTCCACCCTCTCCTCCCCACAACTCCCCACTCCACCCTCCTCCCAAGTTTTCAATCGGTTATCTCCAAATCCTTTGTTAGCAATGACCTACATTGGCATTACAAATGTTTTCCCTATACTCGTTTTTCCTTTCAGAATCAGTACTTGGCTCCAGTCATACAGCTCACCGCAATCCAAAGTGATTTCTCAAGCACAGCTTTATTATTTCACTATATACATACCATATTGTGAAAGTGGAGAAAAAGTACCTTTCACATTTCTCATTTTTTTCGTTTGGAAAGTATAATATCGTGTTGATGCGGCGAGTGGTGGAAAATCCTGTGATGACGACAAACTTGAGCTGCCGTTGTCAAAAAGCTGCTGAAGTCCAAAAAGAAAAGGGAAGTAAGTTACTTATAGTCAAGTAAAGTTGTTAACAGTGACCCTTTTTGCGGTTTTACGCGGGTTTAACCTGGTTTGTGAGCTAACATAAGTGGACAATTCATAAACTCTCTATAAATTTCTAACGACGGTTTGGCGGTCATTGGTGCTCAGCTTATGCAAAAACAATCAAGATGAGGGGAATCAAAACGATAAATGTCGTCAACATTCGTTTTTTGATGAAACTAAAACATGAATTCCGGCCGATCTCAAAACTAATATTAATTCTTTTTATCGTGCTAAGCATTAGGTACGGCTCGGACTTCATATTTCAGCATCTAAATTGGAAGACTCGATGTGCTGAAAGTGCTGGCACTAAAGTTAAAAATCTGCAACTTTTCAACTTTTCCGAACCAGACGAGTTTAAAAAAGTGCCCGCGTACAAATACATTAATAACACGCTGACAAAAGACCTCTACGATCCTGGCTTCGACATCGCTAACCCCGGCCTTTGTCCGGAATCAGGAGCTTCCCTCAAACTGTTGATTATCATTGAAAACTCTAGGCATCGCTCTGATAGACGCGAGGACATTCGCCGGACTTATGGACACTCATTAGTCTTGAGGAAGGACGTGGCCAAAATGTTCTTAATAGGTCGCCCTGAAAAACCTGGTGATAATCCAGACATCCCATCCGAGTCAGATCGTTACGGAGACATGGTGGTTGGTCGATTCGTCGATACTTTTTACAACCTTACCCTGAAAACTACGGCAGCTCTTGAGTGGGTATCGACTTATTGCAGCAAAGTGAAATATATTTTCAAAGCGGACGATGATACATTTCTCAATATTCCAAGGATACTTGATCTTATCGAATCATGGGGTGATCAAAAAAGAGCGATCATTGGAGAAATTTGCAGAGTTGGTCCTGGGAGGAATGATAAAAAGAAGCACTACGTTTCACGTGAAGTTTATAATCAATCTCGTAACCCTGCCTATGTGTTTGGACAAGCTGGATATTTTGTAACCGGTGATATCGTGAAAGAACTGTTTGAACGGGGCCTTAGAACCGGATATCTGAATATAGAAGATGTGTTTTACACCGGAATGATTGCCTCTGCAATTGGTGCGACGAAAGCATTTCACGATCACAGTTTTAAGTGGCACAATTTCACTTACTGGCACGGGCCTGAAGACAAATACAAGTGTAGTATTCAGGACAATGTTAGTGTTTGGGCACCCCAAAGAAAGCAAAAGTATTTCCTGTGGGATATGACTCAAACAGACCGAGAGTATTGCACCTAAAAGAAGATTTTTGAATACTAGAAACATGGTATCAACTAGTGGCAGGTGAGTAAAATAATTGGTCTATCATTTTGGTATATTCTTGTGCGGCCTCCGCTACGTGAAGAATTTCTGTCGGTACCATGTTGGCGCAAACATGGGAGAACGTGGACTGCAAATGAATTTTACCTGCCGGAAGTGCCATACGAAATTGCACAATCTTCGCAGCATTACAAGCCTCACACGCTCTTTTCTCGAAAACAGTCCTTTAATAAACGAGGGGTATGGACTCATTCGACATGTGGTAAAAAAAACAACAGTTTATACTTGATTTAATGGTACTGCGCCTCGACCTTCGCTCCCTCAAAACCAACCATGCCAAGCCTACCAACCCAACTATTCATCAGGAATAAGTGTTTTTAGTCTTGTTCTGCTCGTGAGGACATGCCAAAAAAATGCTGAGCCCAAAAAACAAAATTCAAAAAAAATTTGAAATCGATGTCTGATTTACCTTACCCACGTAGCATTTTTCAATGTAAAAGTTGCAAAAAGTTGAAAAAATGTTGGTATTTGTTGCAACAAAGTTGCAATTTTCGGTCAACTTTTGGTCGATAAGTGCTGATTTTCGACGATTTGATCGGAAGACAAAGCTGCAACCTGCTGAGATTGCAAAATTGCTGGACCAAGGTTGTTTAAAATCTAAAGATAGGCAACCAGCAATACTTTGAAGTTGAAACATGTTTCAACTTGATTGCAACTAGTTCCAACAATGATAGCTCCTTCGGGGGAGAGAGCAGGCAATCTGCACATCAATCTACTGGTTGCAAGAATCAAACGATTTTGTTTCAAGTTTTTGCAACCTCTGCTACTTGGGTAATACTGCACTGAAAAAAAAACTCCGGCCACGGGAGCCGCAATTACGGGCTATACAGACATACCGTCCGTTCCGGACTCAAAGGCCGAAAATTCCGGGTTCTGGAGCCGTAGCTTCGGCCTCAGAACCCGGAGCAATCGAAGCTACGCCTCTAGCAGCCGGAATTTGCGGCCTTTGAGCCCGGAACGAACGGTATGTCTATATAGCCAGTAATTGCGGCTCCCGTGGCCGGAGTTTTTTTTTCAGTGTGGGTGATTCCAGATTGAAACGCCGAACTGCAGGAACGTGTTCCATAGGTGAAGATAATCCTTTGATTTGCAAAGCTTTGAGCCCTTGAACAGGATTTGGAGATAACGTCAGAGTCGCGGTCTTTATATTTAGTGAGAGTCACCAACCGATGTAGTCATCAGAAATAAGTGTTCTTAGTCTTGCTTTTTTTCCTGCGGACATGCCAAGAAAAATGAACCCAAAAGAAGAAATTCTAAAACTTAGTTAAAAATCGATGTCCGACTCCCCTTAATACAGGGTGATTCAAGATTTAAGCGCCGAGCTGCGGGAGCGTGTTCCATAAATGAAAATAGGGCTTACTTGATCTATGGAATTTTTCCAAAAAATGCTTTTTTAGGGTGCTATTACTACGGGAAAAAGTAGCCCTCATAAAAAATAATTTTGGAAACAAATTCATGATAGTCAAAAGTCTCATCCTGACACATCGAACACACCCTGCAGTCTGGCGTTTTAGCTTTGAATCACCTTGCATTGGACGTAAATCAAAAAACAACTCAAATATTGTAATGACCGAGAATTGAGTATAAAGCGTCTTTCAGCTTAGAGACAAGATTTTGCGATGGCGTCAGAGCCGTGGTCTTTATATTTAGTGAGAGGACAACTCATTTTGAAACGGAAAAAATCTTACAAAACTGAATTACTCCGCTGAGGTTCCTTATAAAAATGAGTATTTCTGCCCTTGCAGAATGAGGATCATGACTATACGTCATGTCCTTAACCTTACCCTTAACTGGACGTATTTCTACCAAAGAGACCTATGTGCAAGTGAGAAATGTGGGGTGTGCTCGTTAGTTCTCTTTGCGTGGCGAGTGAATGGGAATAATTGTGCGCCAGTGACGTCAGCGGCAATGAGAGTGCGCACTCTAACGGCGGGGAGATGGTCGTCGGGGCGCTTTAACTCGTGTGCCCTGTGCACAAGGCTCTCTTGCCATGCCCGCGGCTCATGAGTTCCGCATTCAGTTGGCACATAGGTCTGTTTGATAGAATGCAACATCCCGCTTTTCCAATTCTTCAAAAGGAACCACACCCACTTTTACATTGCTTCTTATCCAGCTTCGACGAGCACACCCCACATTTCTCACTTGCACATAGGTCTGTTTGGTAGAACTACGTCCAACTGTTGGGTTGATCTCGGTACGGTTCGTTCGAGTATTAAGATAGCCACCCGCACTTTTCCTTAAGCATCTTACTTAATTTTTAGTCGGTCTGTTAGCTAAACCTCGGTGTTGATAAAAATGGCAAAGTAGGTCACAACGTGAATATTTCTCATACGGAATCCGAAAATATAGGGATTGCTGCTCGGTATTTGCTTTTTTATCGATGAATATATTTCTCAATAGGACTCGTTTAATAGAGCTAACTGCGGTTCGCGGGATTTCCACGGTGCACGACGTTTGCGCACACTTTTCGTACCGATAACGTTTGCGCACAAAATTCCGAATTTTCATTTGCGCACAGTTTTACCGATAACGTTTGCGCACACTGCACTATGTGGCAACGCTGCATTATACGGAGCATATTTATACGCACGCATTGTTTAAAACCGAACAGAGGGGGCGAGTAAACGAGTGATGAAACAGAAGTGAGTGAGTTTGAGAGTGTNCAGCCGATTTCCAACGGTTATCTTCGACTCATTTGTTTGCAATGACCTAAATTGTCATTACGAATCTTTTCCCTTCACTCGTTTTTCCTTACAGCCTCAGTTGCTGGCACCAGTCATACAGCTCACCACATTCCGAGGTGATTTCTTAAATACACCTTTATTTTTTCACTCTATAAATACCGTATGGTAAAAGTTGCGAGATAAAATATTTTTCACATTTTGCATTTTTTTCGTTCGGAAAGTAGAATATCGTGTTGATGCGGCGGATGGTGGAAAATGGTAATCCAGTGGGGAAGAAAATCTTGAGCTGTCGTTGTCAAAAAGCTGCTTACGTCGGGAAAAAGAAGTGAAGTAAGTTCAAGAAAGTCAAGACAAATTCTTATCAGTGACCCTTTTCACGGTTTTGACCCGGTGTGTAAGCTTACGTAAGTGGACTACTTATAAAAACTCTATAAATTTCAAAAGACGGTTTGGCGGTCATTGCTGCTCACCGAATGCAAAAAAAAAATCAGGATGAGGGATATCAAAACAAATAATGTCGTCAACAATCGTTTTTTGATGACGCTAAAACAGAAATTACTGCCAATTTCAAAACTAATATTAACCGTCTTTATCGTAATAAGCATTATGAGCACTTCTCAGACTTCATATTTCATCATTCAAATCGGCAGACCCGATGTGCTGAAAGTGCTGGCACTAAAGTTAAAAATCCGCCACTTTTCAACGTTTCCGAACCAAACGAATTTAAAAAAGTGCCCGCGTACAAATACATTAATAACACGCTGACAAGAGACCTCTATGATCCTGGCTTCGACATCCCTAACCCCGGCCTTTGTCCGGAATCAGGAGCTTCCCTCAAACTGTTGATTATAATTCAAACCGCTAGGCACCACTCTGATAGACGGGATGCCATTCGCCAAACACATGGCCACTCCTTTTCCTTGCGGAAGGACGTTGCTAAAATGTTCATAGTAGGCCGCCCTGAAATGCCTGGTGAACATTCAGACATCGCATCCGAGTCTGATCGTTACGGAGACATTGTGGTTGGTCGAATGGTCGATTCGTCGATACTTTTTACAACCTTACCCTGAAAACTACGGCAGCTCTTGAGTGGGTAATGACTCATTGCAGCAAAGTGAAATATATTTTCAAAGCGGATGATGATGCATTTTATAATATTCCAAGGATACTTGATATTGCCGAATTGTGGAGTGATCAAAAGAGAACGATCATCGGAGAAGTATGCAGATTTGGTCCTTCGAGGAATAAGGAAGAAAGGCACTACGTTTCACCTGAAGTTTACAATTTATCATTTTACCCTGCCTATCCGTTAGGACACTCTGGTTATTTCGTAACCACTGACATCGTGAAGGAATTGCTTGAACGAGGCCTTAGAACCGCATATCTGAATATAGACGATACCTTTTACGCCGGATTCATTGCCTCTGCTATTGGCGCCACGAAAGCATTTCACGAGCGCAGTTTCAAGTGGCACAATCACACTTACTGGGCCGGACCTGAAGACAAAAACAAGTGTGGTATTCAGGACAATCTTGGTGTTTGGGCACCCGAAACAAATCGAAAGGTATTCTTGTGGAATATGACTCAAACAGGCCGACTGCCATGCACTGGTGGCTAGGCTGCTTACGATCATGCTGGTGAGTGATACATGGTATCACCATGTGGCAGGTGGGTGAAATAATTGACCTGTAATTTTGATACATGGATTGCATTTTGCAAAAAGGAACCACTAGCATTGCAATGATGCTAAGATTGTGCAACTTCATCCTTTGCGATATAATTGCGGAAATCGTGAAAAACCATGAAATTTAGATGGTAATTTTTGTCTTAAATTTACAGTTTTTAGCAAGTAAAATAGAAACTATCAATGGATAATCGGGTTTTTCCTCCAAGACAAAAGAAGTTGCACAATCTTAGCAACATTGCAATGCTAGTGGTTCATTTTTGCGAAATGCAATCCATATGCTCTTGTGCGACCTCCGCTATGTGGCTAATTTATTTAAATAAAATGTTGGGGCCAGCATGGGAAGACGTTGGCTGTAATTGAATTTTATATGCCTTGAAATGCTATGAGAAATTGCACAATCTTAGTATCATGGGAAGCCTCACCTTTTTTTNGTCCTCATTATACGAAGGGTATGGATTCGATCGAAAATCTTAGCTCATTTTAAAAAGAAAAAAAGGACTATCTTTTGCGCACATATTCATAACATTTCGTGCGACTCCTCCAGTCAGTGGCGTAACGGACTTCCGCTGGGCCCCCCTGCAAAATTTTTTCTAGGGGCCTCCTAAGTCGATAAAATTCCAAAATTATCCCCCCCCTCTCCCTTCCTCACCCCTTCCCGTTTTTTCTCGTATGGTCTAGGCCCGCAGCCCGAAAATGTTTGAGAAAATCAGCCTTAACCACCAAAAAATCAAAGTGGCAGCAGCTTATATCTTTTTACCTTTAGTTATGGTATGTGCAGGATTTAGCCTTCTTTTACTTTATGTTCTGAGGTGGAATTTGATTCACTTGCATGTTTGCGCAAATAAATATATTTAAAAAAAAATAAAAACGTAAAAGTACCCGATTAAATGGAACCCCTAAAAGATCAATGATCTAAAGGAAGGCGGGGGCTCAGCCCAGGCCCATGAATCAAAGGGCCCCCAAGGCTTTTAGATTCTTGGGCCTCCCAAAACCCGAAATACGAAAAGTGGAATCATTGAGTGGACATGGGAAGGCAGGGGCCCTCCAGCAAACAAAAAGTTAGGAACAGTCCAAGAAAAGTATGAAAAACCCCAAGCTAACAATAAAAATCAAAGGAAGAAGCCCCATCTCGATAAGTAAAGGCCCAAAGTTTGAAACCAAAGCTGAGGATCAAAGAGAGAGAGAGAAAAAAATTCCGGCGGCCGAGGGCCCCCTAGGCGCCAGGGCCCCCCTGCATAGCAGGGTCTGCGGGGGCGCCCGTTACGCCACTGCCTCCAGTCGAAAAATTGAATAATTTAAAATTAAACTTTAAAAAAAAATTCGATGAGCCATGGCTTTGCAATAAATTTACCGATTGTTAATTTCTTTTAATAGATAGAAAGGTCTTTTTATGTTCTTTCATTGAAAACTCGTTGTCTGCAACCGTTCAAATGTGATGCTCAAAAGTTGATTTCTCTTAGACCCCCCGGCCCCCGGGGGGGGGGGGGGGGGCTGGATCAAAAACTCTACCATTTTTGAACTTCTGTCACCTTCTTTTACAATGGTTGAAGGCATAACAAGATCCTGTTCTAGGCCCAATTCTTTTGGGAGACCCATATATCTCTTTAGTAACATGCTACAGGTAAACAAGCTGTTAACTTATTCTTGATATATCTCATTTTTACATACAAAGTTAGTGAACGTCATATTTTGAAAACTTCGGGGATTTTCTCTTTCAGTGTAAAGAATATTCTGTGGAAATTTCAAGGTTTGAAGTTTCTTTTGGTCCCATTTGAAGAAGGAGCTTAGTCAAATCCCTCTTAGATAACTAAAATTCTACCAAGCCAACTAAAATTCTTCCAAGCTAACTAAAATTCTTCCATAAAAGGGAACCATAATTCCTCCAAAAAGAGACGGGCACCCAGTGATATTACAGCAGATCTCCCTGTGGATTGTGGTACCTCCGTGACCCCTGGTAAAAATTGGCGATAGGAGCTGCGTTTCAAAATACCATAAAAGTTCTTATAGCCGACTGAAGAAGGCGATAGAAAATCATATAGCTGGCTGTAGAAAGTGGAAAAAATTATACGGCCGGGCTACACGAAGCTATAAAAAATTAAACAGCCGAGCTATAGTTCCTGTCGCCGGGCTTTACACTTTATCGCCTGGCGTTGCTTTTTCGCCATCGGCTATAAGAGGCTATAAGAAATTGTGTAGAAATTCGTGTGCTTTGTAAACCCGCAAGTTTTTACGGAATCATCATAATATTTACAAAACGCTCATTACAGTTTCCTTTACTACATATTTGTTTGCATCAATTAAAATGAGAATAACCCATACAGAGTGTGCAAACATTTCAAATTCATGAGTTGAACAACGCTGACTCCACGAGATTAAATATTAGAGCCTAACAAAGCGGAGCGGTGTCGCACTGGCGCCTACAAAACTAACAGGGATACTTCACGCACTGCGCAATGCGTGAAGTATCCCTGTTAGGTTTGTAGGCGCCAATGCGCGTTTCGCGCTGGCTGCCCGCCTGCCGCACCGCAGCGTGCCACGGCGCTTGAAGCAACTATTTCACACCAGAGGTATTGCACAGTATCGTACGAAATTGAAGGCGCTCCAACATATTAGGAATGGCAGGGGGCATCCTTCAAAAGAACGGAGCTTCCCTCGCAAAATAAATCAAGATACTACGGCCCAAAAAGAGAGCGGTAGTCCAAAAACTCACTAAGTCCTAGCATCCGTAATTAGTAACGGATAGCATACACTTTATCGTCAGGCTGTTGCTTAATCGTCATCGGCTATAAAAGGCTATAAGAAATTGTGTCGCCGGCTATAGAAGCTATTGGAAATCTTACAGTCGGCTGTAGAGTCCCTTTATACTGAGAGTCAAGACAACACCCCTCATGGAGTCACAAACGGGAATAAAGATTACAGAAATTGAACGTTTTACGTAATCCTTGATCGGCCCATTCTCAAATTCCTTTCTCCGTTCCTTCTCTCATTCCGTTTGTTCCTTGCCGAACCCGTAATTCCCTGGTCCATTCCAGATTATAATCTTTGCAGTCGGTGAAAATGTAATCTTTATTCCCGTTTGTGACACTCCGATGGCCTAAAATACGGGAACCAATCAGAAATGGATTCACATTGTCTTGACTCTCCGTGTAGAGGGACTCTAGTCGGCTGTAGGTCTATGGTATTTTGGAACACAGATTCTACTGCCAGTTTTTACCAGGGACGCATAGCCTAGAGAGAAATATTAAAAAAAAAAAAAAAAAAAAAAAAAAAAAAACCAATGAAGAGAAACAAAACGGAGGCAGGAAATTTGGAACAGCCGGCCAGGTTGGGCTAGTGGTCAGCGCGTCTGACTCTAGGCCAATAGGTCCCGGGTTCGAATCCCGGTGGCGGCGACAAATTTTCATGGAACTGACGAGATGGATCTGCAGAAACAGATTCCACTCGGCCTCAATCCCTGAAAATTTGAAAGCCTGGAGCATGGATGTGCCTAAATCCCGTGATGTCTAAGGACAATAAATACTGCCTATCGATGGCTGTAGGTTCCAACGGAATATAAGCCACTAGACCAGCAAAAAAAAAAAAAAAAAAAAAAAAAAAAAAAAAAAAAAAAAAAATTTTGGAACACCGTAACCAAGGAACGTATTTCCGCAGTGTCACCGGCGGAAAGGTCCCTTTCCGCGGATTTGGTCACATTTTCACGCAAACGTAAAATATTTTTTCCTTTTTTTTTGGAGACTTGGCCAGCATGGCAACTCGCTGCATCGCGTTTCGGGACACGGCAAAGGCAACATGTTAAAACACCGTCGCTCGCAATCCGAAATGAGACCAGATAAAGGCCGACGGTGAGGGGGTAGAAAAAAACTCAAGAACTGCCTCGCGACACTAACGCCCTTTTCAGCAGAGCTCCCCCCCCCATTTCCACCCTTCCCCTCCCTCCCAGCCTGCGCTCACCTCCGCGGGACCTCGCCAAAGTCGTGTCATCGGAGTCTGACGCTCGCGAAAGCATTGTCTCCCTCGCGGGGGCCTTTTGAATTCGACTCCGGCGTCCTCGAGCTTTTTGAGTGACAAGATCAATCCGGAACGCGAAAGCTCTGCTTTAAGTGCTTTTTACGGCCCCGACTCGGAGCCGGGACCCGGCGCACAGTGGATCGAGTCAATGGGTCACTAAACCTTGTTTATTTTATTGAATATTTTGACAGTACTATGTGAGTAGATAACGTGGTGATTTTTCCGCATTTTTATGGAGCCGAAATCGCGGAGAAAACCGTTTTTGAAAAATCTAAAAACTGCAAGACATTTCAAACGCACCCGAATGGCGGGAAACTGACGGTGTTGATGTACTGCGGTAGTCATATTGCAATCTTCTCTCATTTTCCTCGGATGTTTCTTAAAATAAAACGTATTTCAATGTGGAATTGTTGCTTGTTTATTACAGCTAACATATGAATGAGATTCAAGTCTTGAATTCAAAAGATATAATTTCGACTTTAGTATTGTTCTCATATACGAAGAGTAGATAGACATTTGACGGACGTCGTGGAAATCCGTGCCCGCTTCTGATTGGTGCAGGATGACATCATTCGGTACGGCGCGAAACCGTGGCGTTTTAAATTTTCGTACAACTTGAGCGATTTGAGCTGCGCATTTATCGGTTATTGAGTTACTTGTTCGCGTTTTTAATGTGCGCATCGTGTTCTATGCGTTATTTTCCTTCAGAAAACTATATTCGCAAGTCAAAATTCGTTCATGGTTTAGTGACCCATTAGAGAGGTCGGACATAAAATTCTTGACAAAAACTACGAATTTTGATGGTTGTTTCGTCACATTTTCAAGTCCAAGGGTTGCTTTTTGAAGTAAATTTCCCGGGAAACCTAATAGAACCACCGTTAGAATCTTAAAGTTTTGTATAATCGGAGTTATAAGCGTTTTAAGTTTCCAAATTATGTCCGACCTTTCCTATCGACTCGATCCACTGTGCGGCGCTCCGCGGCTGTCGCACGCAGGATCGAATCAAAATTCCTGCCCCCGGAGCGGGGATGCTTTTTGAGTGCGTTTCGAATTTGTCAACTTGCGCACGAATTATCATTTCAGAACGAGAGAAGTTTTTAAGTTGATTAAGAGGAATAAATATCGTTTCCTCCCGGAGCTTTTCCCGGAGTGTAGCGTTGCCGGCGTTGTGGTTTGTGGATTATTTTGCTTCGCACTGAAAAAAAATCTATGTGTATTTACTAAGAAAAGGGTAAAATTACCAAGAATTCAGGGTTCTATTTGATCCCAGTTTTTTCTCGGTAAAATTACCATTTATGGAATCGGTAATTTTACCGAGAAATCTCGTTAAAATTAGTAAACTTTCTCGGTAATTTTACTGGACCTTGGTGAAAACGTCAATATTTTTTATCGACTGTGGTAGAATTACCGAGATAAAATGGCAAAGTTACCGGGAATTGATTACCAATAAAAGTGGTATTCTTACCTGAAAAAACAGTAAAAATACCGGTTTTTAGGCAAGCTTACCAGTCTGTCTTGGTAAAATTACCAATAATTGGTAAAAAAAAGTGATATGGCAAAGGTACCAACGGACCTTGGTAAAAAAGCCGAGAATTTTTTTTCAGTGCGAAATGTTTCGGATTTCCTCCGTTTAAGCCTATGCTAAATAATCGATCATTGTTAGAGCACCTGACTCCTCCAAGAATCGATTTATTTCCATAGGTTTAAATGTAGAAAAGACAATATTACTAATTAGCTGGATCCGCCAACGCCTGCATTTGCGGATTCTGTTGTTTCGAAAAAGTTCCAGATCTCGTTCGTTTAAACCTATAATCGATTAATGCCGGAGTAAAATTTCTTTTTGAAGAAAAAATTCACATGCAAAGATGCTTGAAAATTTAAACAAGGGGTTGGTTACAACGTACGGACGTTGAAAAGCCATAGTTGATCTAATGTTATTGCGCCTTGCCCTTCATTCCCTCAGAGAGCGTCTACAAACCGATCTAGTCATCAGAAATAAGTGTCCTTAGTCTTATTTTCCCTCTTGTGGACATGCCAAGAAAAATGAACCCAAAAAACGAAATTCTAAAAATTAGTTGAAAATTGACGTCCGACTCCCCTTAATACAGGGTGATTCAAGATTTAAGCGCCGAGCTGCAGGAGCGTGTTCCATAGGTGAAAATAGAGCTTACTTGATCTATGGAATTTTTCCAAAAAATGTTTTTTTATGGTGCTATTACGAGGGGGAAATGTAGCCCCCATAAAAAATAATTTTGGAGACAAATTTATAATAGACAAAAGTCTCATCCTGACAGATAGAACACCCCCTGCAGTCTGGCGGTTTAGCTTTGGATCACCCTGCATTAGAAGTAAATCAAAAAACAAGTGAAATATTGTAATGACCGAGAATTGAGTATAAAGCGTCTTTCAGCTTAGAGACACAATTTTAAGATGACGTCAGAGACGTGATCTTTACATTTAGTGAGAGGACAGCTCATTTTGAAAGGGAAAAAATCTTATAGAACTTAATTTCCCCTCAAATTCAAATTAAAAAGGAATATTTCTGCCCTTGCAGAATGAGGATCATGACTACGACGTCATGTCTCTCAACCTTGCCCCTAATAATTTTTGCGTCCATCTCGGTTCGGTTTATATCCGTCCAAGTATGAAACAAGTTGGTTTTTGCAATCGCTAGCGATAGCAATATTCGTCATGGGAACTTTTGCTTCTGGGATATGAAAATTTTAAGGTACAGTTCGTTTGTAGTATCTTCAGAATTGAAGGGGCTATGTAATTTTGTGTCGACATCTCTTTTTTAACATTTTTAATTTTTTTTCTTTGCATACAAGAAAGCTGTTATTTACCAATTATTTATTTTCGTTGGATTATGTATGGTTTTTGGAAGTTAACGCATTTAACTTTCAGTTTCGTTTTTTCGGCGTAAAGTATGATATTTTTACTCTACGCATATGCCCGAATACGCATCATAACGACGGTGAAACTACCAAACCACGTATCTCGTTTGCGGTGTTTAAAAATCTCCGCTCACATTTTATTTTTTTGAAGTAGACCAAATCAATATCATTCCTTGAAATTTTCACAGAATTTTCTCCGCACGAAGAGGAAAAATCACGGAAATTTTCAAGACTGGACGTTAAGTAGCTTTTCATTTAAAAAATAAAGTATGACAGGAAGTCTGCGACGTCGCAAACCGAGATACGTGGTTTGGTAGTTTCACCGTCGATAAGTGACCTATGTGCTTCCTAAGTTGCCATTTTTTTCATTCAAATAGATGTAACCGAAATGTTAGATGTGTACTACCTATACTACTTTCATGTCATTGCTTTATTTATTTATTTACTTTTTGCGTAGGTATAAATTGTTATTTTTTGCTGAATTTTGGAGAAAATATTGCTTTAAGAACGTGGAATGTAAATTAATTTTATTGAAAAAAGAAAATACCATCATTAATTTGGGCGAACAGAGAAAATATACATCAATATTTGGGTCAACATCTCCCTGATTATATAAAGGATGAATATATTAGTATTTCTGTATCAAAAAACTTAGCTTTTGTCTTCAGAGATACGATGATTCTAGTCCCAGTCAATTTGTTTTATTGAAAAAACAAAAAAACAAAAAATAAATAAAAAAAAAAAAAAAACTGAAATGTCAGACATACTATTTTCATGTCTTTCTATTTGTATCAATAGGTACTTTTTGCTTAACTTACGAACGTTGAATGCAAATTAACTTTATTGAAAAAAGAAAATAACGTCATTAATTTGGGGGAACATGTGGCTGATTATATGAAGGAGGTATATTCCAGTATTTTTGTTTAACATATTAACTCACGAGAAAATGTTCGTACATTTATCATCTACTATTAATTATTTTTTGATGATTAGTCTAAAACATTCAATACAACCATTAAAAAGTAGTTCCCATCGTCGGGTATCGAACTCCCGATCGCCGGGTGCCCGCACCGAATCAAAAATACGAGGCGGTTTAGTCAACTAGGCTATAATGGATCCACGTGGGCGAGAGTAAAAATAGCATACAAAAGACTCGGGCAATGGGCGGGACTTATCACAAGAGACCTTGACTGCTTTTGGGATGATATGAAGCGCATTGCTGTTTTGCTGTAGGAGCCATGGTTCGCACTGTTTTAATGCGTCTCGAGGTTCATGCCAGCACGCATTCCGATCGCGGCAGTTGAGCTAAGGCAATATTTGCGTATCCATGAATTAAATCAATCAATCGAGCTCTGATTTTGACTTCTTTATCCGTAACGAGTCCTCCAGAACAATTTTCCACCTTGTACGATGGTTATTATTTCTTTACTTCTATTTTTCAAATTTGAGGTGGGATAATGGCGGCTTCTCAAGAACACCGAGGTAGGCGATCTTTTGCACCAACGAACAGAAAACTGATGGCGAAAAATAACCAATCAGAACCTCCCAAAAAAAATAATTTGCCTAAAAACGGAACTTCGTGGTTCTGCGCAGATTTACCAGTCAGAGACGACATCTCAAGATGGAAAAAAACTAGCTGAAAGCGAATTTTAGCAATCAACACAACTTGACGTAGAGACATGATTGGCTAAAAAATACAACGGTTTTTGATACATCGGAAAATCAACCAAAAATCGGAGACTGGGCGAAACGCTCAAGGTCGCAGAGGTATAGGGAATCCCATAGCGAAAGCAACGGAACGATTCTAATATCATGGGGAACTCCGTTCCCATGACAAAAAGCCACCCGCACTTTTCCTTGAGCATCTCAATTTTTGGACGGTCTGTTAGCTAAACCTCGGTGTTGAAAAAAATGGCAAAGTAGGTCACAACGTGAATATTTCTCATATAAAATCCGAAAATATAAGACTTGCTGATTAGGAGTTTGTTTTTTATCTATGAATATATTTCTCATTAGGACTCGTCTACCAGAGCTCAGTGCGGTTTTTGAGCTTTCAATCGGTTATCTCCAACTCCTTTGTTAGCAATGACCTAAATTGGCATTACAAATCTTTTCCCTTTACTCGTTTTTCCTTTCAGAATCAGTATCTGGCACCAGTCATACAGCTCACCACACTTCGAAGTGATTTCTTAAATACACCTTTATTTTTTCACTCTATAAATACCGTATGGGAAAAGTTGAGATAAATTTTTTTTCATATTTTTCATTTTATTCGTTAGGAAAGTGGAGTATCGTGTTGATGCAGCGAATGGAAATCCAGTGGTGACGACAATCTTGAGCTGTCGTTGTCAAAAACAAAGCTAACTTCCAAACAAAAAGAGTGAAGTAATTGTTATCAGTGACCCTTTCGGTGGTTTTAACCCGGTTTGCAAGCTTACGTAAGTGGATTAATCATAAAAACTCTACCTATAAATTTCAAAGAGACGGTTCGGCGGTCATGGTGCTCAATTAATGCAAAAACAATCAGGATGAGGGATATCAAAACGATACATGTCGTTAACAATCGTTCCTCGATGACGCTAAAACAGAAATTACGGCCGATTTCGAACCTAATATTAATTTTTTTTATCGTGATAAGCATTATGTACTTCTCTGACTTCATATTTCATCATTCAAATCGGCAGACTCGATGTGCTGAAAGTGACACTACAGTTAAAAATTCGTCACTTTTCAACGTTTCCGAGCCGGAACAGTTTAAAAAAGTGCCCGCGTACAAATACATTAATAACTCGCTGACCAAAGACCTCTACGATGCTGGCTTCGACATCGCTAACCCTGGCCTTTGTCCGGAATCAGGAGCTTCCCTCAAACTGTTGATTATCGTTGAAACCGCTAGGTATCGCTCTGATAGACGCGAGGACATTCGCCGGACTTACGGACACTCATTCGCCTTGAGGAAGGACGTGGCCAAAATGTTCTTATTAGGTCGCCCTGAAAAACCTGGTGAAAATCCAGACATCCCATCCGAGTCTGATCGTTACGGAGACATTGTAGTTGGTCGATTCGTCGATACTTTTTACAACCTAACCCTGAAAACTACGGCAGCTCTTGAGTGGGTATCGACTTATTGTAGCAAAGTGAAATTTATTTTCAAAGCGGACGATGATGCATTTCTCAATGTTCCAAGGATACTTGATCTTATCGAATCGTGGGGTGACAAAAAAAGAGCAATCATCGGAGACTTTAGCAAATATGGTGTAACGAGGAATAAGAAAGACAGGCATTACGTTTCACCTGAAGTGTATAATCTTTCATATTTTCCTGCGTATGCGTTTGGAGAATCTGGTTATTTGGTGACCGTAGATATCGTGAAAGAATTGCTTGAAAGAGGCCTTAGAACCGCGTATCTGAATATGGAAGATACCTTTTACGCCGGATTCATTGCCTCTGCTATTGGCGCCACGAAAGCATTTCACAAGAGTAGTTTTAAGTGGCACAATCGCTCTTACTGGGCCGGGTCTGAAGACAAAAACAAGTGTGGTATTCAGGACAATGTTTGTGTTTGGGCACCCGAAAGAAAGCGAAAGATTTTCTTGTTTAATATGACTCAAACAGACCGACAAGCATGCACTGGAGGCTAGGCTGCTTACGATAATGCTGTTGAGTGAATCATGGTATCAACAAGTGGCAGGTGAGCAAAATAATCGGTCTGTCATTTTGAAATATCTTGTGTGGCCTCCTCACGTGGTAATTTATTTCGGTACAATGTTGGAGCTAACATGGGAAAATGTGAACTGTAAATGAATTTCATCCGCCTCAAATTCCATGAGAAATTGCACAACCTTAGCAGCATCGCAAGCCTCACACGCCATTTTACCGTAAACAGTCCTCAATTAAGCAAAGGGTACGGATTCGATCGACATGAATCGATCGAAAAACCAAAACGTGACCTGATAGACGTGATCAGATGGACAAAATTCGATCGAAGAAATTTGATTGACTCGCCGGTCGATCGATTTACGGGTTAGTCGATCGACTCATGGGTTTGTCGATCGATTCATTGATTTATCAATAGAATCACGGGTTTATCGATAGATTCGCGGATTTGTCGATCGATTCACGGATTGGTTGACCGATTCACGGTTGTCGATCGAATCACGTCGATCGGTTCGCGTTTGGTTTTTCGATCGATTCATGTCGATCGAATCGATATTGGATTTTTAATAATTTGTCGATCTAATCGGTGTCGATCAACTCACGTTTACATTTTTCGATTGATTCATGTCGATCGAATCCATGCCCTCCAATTAAACCTCATTTGAGTAGGGGTGACCCTCCTTCATATTCCGCAACCGTAGCACGCCACGCAGTTTACGATCGTCCGCGACAGGGGCCATTTACACGGGGAGTCACCTCGCTGAGACAGTGCGCACACCGCTGTGCTCCCTGAATAATGAAATGATAAAATATTTTTTTAGTAATTGCAATTAGTATTCCGGACGATTGGCATTTCTCGAGTCCTCTTGCTCGGGCGACGCCATCAAATTTTACGACCCTCCGCAAAGGGCAGCGAATGGACCCTCCGCACGGAACGGCCTCGAAGTTCGTTACAGTGTTGTCGAAGCAAAAAGGGGAAGGTAGAGCATGGAACCAGTGCTCCTATTTCCCGGAACGAGCTCCGAATTCCGGAACTTTTTAGCTTTTTAGGAATTTTCTCCGGAACTTTTGAAATGCCGCGAATGCCCCGGATCTTTTGCAAATTTCGGAACTTTTTAGCTTTTTAGGAATTTTCTCCGGAACTTTTGAAATGCCGCGAATGCCCCGGATCTTTTGCAAATTCTGGAACTTTCTCGGGACTTTTGAAAAAAATCGGAACAAAAAAGTTTCGAATCCCGGAACTTTTGACCGCCATGGAACGGAGGCACTGCACCGAGCAGGAACGAAAATGGGTCTGTTGTGAACAAAATGTACAACCAACAGATATTTTACAGGTAAAATCGTAAGAAAAATACACACCAAATACTGAGGTCTCCTTGATCTCGGTGAGTATGCAATTTGAGCCTCTTGGTTGTTAAAATAATTGTATCGCAAGGTTTGCTCATAGCATGGCGTTCAGCTCGAGACAGAAATGACTTCTTTATGAAAATTTAAATCGTTAAATTTGTTTATAATTTTGAAAACTATTATTTTACTTAACATAAAATTTTAATGAAGAACAAATAGCAATCAATAAACTATATAAAAACTTTATAAAATTAAATTTAATAAGAAAATAATAATATTCCACGTTTAAAAAAACAGAACACGAAAACAGCATTCCCCGAAGGAATTCTCCTTCGTGTGTTTTATGAAATTTTAAAAGATATGTTTAATTTTTATTTTACTCATTACATTCATGTATTTACAATTGCAGTTTACAAAAAGTGAATAAATTCAAAAAATTCAGTCTTTTCTATAATCATTGATCATTAAGAAAACAAGGATTTTTGCGGAAAATTGGCACCAGCGCGGTGCACGGTAGTATTTGCTCAAGGTGTCTGAATGCTTCCCTGGCGTGCGTCTCAAATACTGCCGTGCTAAGGAAGAACGCCGTAAGAACATTCGAGGGTTGCCAAATTTCCCTTGATATAACATGTATTATTGACGACCTTAATGCAACATTTTTCTTTGACATTTTCAGATATTTTAGATTAAATTGCGTACGGAATTGTCTGAAAATTTGGGAAAAAAATATTCTCAATACTCCCTGTAAATTCGGTTTTTATCGAAGGAAATTTGGCAACGCCTGAAAGCTCTTACGGCGTTCTTCCTCAGCACGGCAGAATAGTGTCGAGAGAGAGGAAAATGTAACAAGAGCTTCTGGAAAGCATTGCTCCCTTTTTATGATCCTGGGTCAGAACGAACACATGCTACACGCGGCTTTCTGCGGAAGGCTAACGTGAAGATGATATTAGTAGCCATTCCGAAGGTCAGCGCGCCAGATCAGAGAAAACTAACATGCGCTTCTTGCACGCTCTTTTGTTCCACTGAAATGTCAACTAATCCGGTAAAAAGTCGATCAAAGAAAGCCCAAATGGCACGTCCAGAACAATTGAATCGGGATGTGCGAAAACAGCTCAAGTCCATTTTTCCAGTTTTAAGTTTTTCTGAGTTCATAATAATTTTAAAGAGTTGATACAACCATACAAGTGATGAAATGACTCATTTTGGGATTAAGGAAACCCGAGGACGAGTTTTAACACCACTTTCGTGGTTGCAACTAGAGCCGGATTAAGGGGGTGGCCGCATGGGCCGCGGCCCATGGCGGCAGAATTAGGGGGCGTCAAATTTTGCAATTTTTTTAAATGCAGGTACAAAAAAATCGGATTCAGATTAAATTTACACCCAAAAAAGGTGACAAAATTTCTCATTTCCTGAGGGTTCATTAATTTTTAATTTTGTTGTATTTCGGTGATAAAAAAGACTGCGCACCTTTAATTAGTTGAGTTAAGAGAGAAACGAAACACGTAATTTGGCCTGGAGCGGCGCGACGCAGAGAGAAATGATGACTAGGACTTGAGATGAAAAGGAAAAGCCCTCGGCGCGGCGGTCGGCATGTAACACATAATAGCGCCTACGAGACTGTATGAATACTTCACGCATTGCACCAAACACAGTACGGTCCATAGCGGTCGGCGCGGCGTGAAACGCACAGTGCCTACAAGACTACATGAATACTTCACGCATTGCGCCAAACGCAGTGTGGTCAGCGCGGCACGGCGCGGCGGTGGAAGTTAAAATTATTAAACAACATTTATGTTTGTTCTTTCTTAATTGTTTAGTTCATTTCTTACAAATAAAAGCCTTGTCCACACAGAGATAGGTTTACGGAACTGAACTTCCGCGCGAAGTTCCGTGAAATTTTGCTAGTAGTGTTGACAGGGCTTACGCAAAAAATGTGTCCAACTGGAGTGAACGCGTCTTATGCGCCCTTCTCCCTCCGGCACGTTTACTTGATGGTTTTTATTGATGTTTCAAAATGAATGAGAAGAGGGCGGCAAAATACAGGCGGCTCATTGGCGGCAAGTAGGTAAATCCGGCCATGGTTGCAACAGACACCGAAAAGTATTATGAACGCAAAAAAACCTAAGACTAGAAAAATGGACAACAGCGGTTGTCGCACGTCTCGATTTAATTGTAAATCATGCCCTGAGAAAAAGAGTTCGACCATCCGAATGGTAAAATATGATATTCTGTATTGTCGATTTACGAAAGAGCGCCGTATGAAAGTTTGATAGTTGCCAAATTTTCATTAATGAAATATGAAATTTCAGGGAAATGTGTGAATATTTTTCAGATAATTTTATTCACGGACGAATCTATAAATAGTCTGAAAATTTCAAAAGGAAATATGCATAACTTTCCTCAAAAATGAACATGTCGTCGAAGGGAATTTGGCAACTGTAGAATATTCATACGGCGCGGCGTGGCGTCTCTCTGAAACTACGAAATTGTATTTTTACGAGGGTTAGAATGTTAGAATACCGCAGATAAATGTAATGTTAATGATGCATGGAGTGGGGGGCTATGAGAAAGACTCCAACGTCAAATTCTATTTCCAATTCATGGAATGACATTTTGAACGTATCAATTTTGAAAGCTACCGATGAAGTCCTACAGTAAACCATACCATAATACGAACGAATGTTGCACGAAGATCAAGAATTCAGAGAAACTTGCCAAATCGAATTGTTTCTAATCGAATTTCCCCAAAACCCTTATTGCAGTGAGCCAATTTTGACGAGGTAGCGGCAACACCGGGCCTGCTGCTATGATTGAACGAAAATTAAAAATAGAAGGCGCGTAATTTGATTGCGGGTGCGATATGCTAGCCCGACACCAGGGTAGCAGAGGGTGGAGACAAGATTTTTTTTTTTTTCTTGAAAAATGACATCCTACGAGTTTGCTCAGAGCCATGAAATTAACCTCGACCCTTCATTTTCCGGGACTGAGGATCCTCCATCTTGTCCCTCTCACCCTGGCCCTGCGATTGGAGGCCCCAGGCGGCTTAAAAGTTTTGAAAAAAGCGAGAAAATGAGAACCGAATTAACAACTCTAATCCCTCGGCACTGCGTGTTAGGCCCTTCTATATGCGGTTAGGTTTGGGTTATTCGATGGCGAATATCTATAATATGAGCTCCGAGACCTCCTAAATTTGCATATCTGGTAACGCTTAGTTCCGGCGTTCTACCGGGCCGATTTTCATGATTTTTGCGGCTATGAACAGGCTATTGTCTTTGAATGAGCCGACTATATACAGATTTTGAAAATGACCCAGGTTTTTTTTTACATTACGTGGTAAAGTTGCGTACATAAGCATGGTTGATCCAATCATACTTTCGGCTGACTCAACCATTCATCTGACTGGTACAACATTCGTAAATCTGGTGACAAAATCAGCCAAGAGTATTGTTGGAATTGTGCTACTTTTTTCCCATGTAAAGTTAGTACAACCTCCTGTTTCAACCAATAGGATTGCTCCATTTCACCCTCACTGACACAAACAATTCGGTGAATCCGAACTAGTTAGGAGCATATGGAATCAAGTTTTGTTCGGTACACACAACCGAATTATTCAGTCTGCTCAACCAAACTGGACGGT